ACAAGAACTAACGAATACAGAGAGGAAAATGACCATAGAATATTATATCTAATACCTTCATACAATATCATTTGCAAGTTACTACTTTCCAGCTTTATTATTTGCTGCCTGTTTTTTCTTTTAAAGAATCTATATACTCCCTGGCCTCCCTGGTAGTGCAAGGGGTTAAATCTCAGTACAATCAAGCTGTCACCAGCCACTGCAACATGAGTTCAATCCCCAGCCAAGGAGCTACCCACATGGTGCAGCAGACCTCTCCTGACTCACCCACTGCTCTCCTCAGCAGTGTATTTCAGTAGATCTGCCTGTTCTGCTCCCTACTGTCTCTGGTGAATCCTCTCATCTCCCCCAACCCACACCTCTGGCCTAAACCCCAGTTCTTGTATGCATAAGTAAATAAATCTGAAAAAAAAAATCTATATACTTGCACAATTCTATATTCATTGTTATTTACATACTACTTTATTTTATGTACATTGTATCTTGTAAGCTTGTGTCAGTGTTGCTATACAACCTTAGTTTAATGGTGTCATACTAGAAGGAGAATTTGAATATTTTTTATTGCAATGCAATTCACATACCATAAAATTCATTCCACTAATGTGTACAGTTCAGTGGTTTGGGGCAGGTTCATAATGCAGGGTGACCAGTACCGTTCTCGAACTCCAAACATGTCATCGCCCCACAAGGAAATCCTGCATCCATTAGCAGTCACACCCCATTCTACCCTTCACCCCTACCCCCTGCCTCTGTCAACCACTAATCCACTAATCTGTTTTATATCTCTATGGATTTTCCTTTTCTTGAATTTCATAGCAACAGAATCATACAACCTGACCTTTAGTGTCTGATTTCCTTCACTTAGCCTAAGATTATTAAGGTTCATCCATGTTGTAGTATATATCGATACTGCATTTTTAATGACTAAATATCATATATTAATTTATATAAATAATATTGTGTGAATTATAATGTCTTTTGCTTATTCATTCATCAATTGATGGTTATCTTGGTTGTTTCCACTTAGGTTGTTATAAATAATGTTACTATGAATTTCTATGTACAAGTTTTTGTAGGGATATGTGTTTTCAGTTATCTTGAGTCTATTCCTAAGAATGGAACAGTTGAATTATACGGTAACTCCAAACAAACTGTTTTCCAAAGTAGCTGCAGTATTTTACATTCTCACCAGCAAAGTATGAGGGTTCCAGGGCCTCCCTGGTGGCGCAAGGAGTTAAGACGCAGCACTATGAAGCTTTCCCCAGCCACTGCAGCAGGAGTTCGATCCCCAGCCAGAGAGGTGACCCACATGGCACAGCAGACCTCTCCTGTCTCGCCCGCTGCTCCCCTCAGCAGTGTATTTCAGTCAGTCTGCCTGTTCTATTCCCCACTCTGTCTCTGGTGAATCCTCTCACCCCCCCATGCCTCTGGCTTGTACCCCAGTTCTTGTATACATAAATAAATAAATCTTTAAAAAAAAAAAAAAGTTTGAGTTCCAGTTTCTCCAAATCCTCACTAACACTTGATAGTCTTTTTCCCCCCCTCAAATTTTATTGTCAGTCCTCTATATAACTATATAAATTGGGGGGGGGCAAGTACAACTCTACATCTACACATGCACCTCCTTCACTCACCCTGTGATATCTCATAGTGATTTTTGGTTTACGATTAATGTTACACATCTTCTGTGCTTATCTAGCCATTTGTGTATCTTGTTTGGAGAAACATCCATACAAACCTTTTACCCATTTTTTAATTGACAGTTTGATATGCATTTTTATAATTGATTGTAAATGGTTATTTATGGTGGACACAAGTCTCTTATCAGATTTGTGTCTCCATTCTGTGGGTTGTCTTTTTACCTTCTAACAGTGTCCCTTGAAACACAAAAGTTTTTAATTTTTATAAAGTTCAATTTGTTTCTTCTTTGGTTACTATAGTTTTGCTATTATATCTAAGAAACTATTGCCTAACCTAGGTCACCAAGATTCCAATAGCCTACAAATACAAATAAAATCCTCCCTCTCCACTGAATGTTTTCAGTTATTTCTGATATTTCAAATATTTCAGCTATTTCAAAACTCCAATGTTTTCTTCTAAGAGCTTTATAGTTTTAGCTCTTACATTTTAGGTCTTTGATCTGTTTTGAGCTTATTTTCATCGATAGTGACTTTGAATCTTGCCTGTCAAATGGAGAAGGGGTGGAGAGCCTTTTGTATCAAACAGAAAATGAAGGAATGATTAGAAGAGGAAGTGTGAGACATATATTCTGGGGAGCAATTGATTTGTGCGGCTGGAGCATAAGACATGCAAAGAGAAGGTTAGGCATTACAATGAATGACAGTGGCCATATACACAAAAAACAAAACAAACAAAAAACAATGGGGGGCAGGAAATGATGTTTTCTCCATAGTCTTCATCAACCACTCCACAGGCTCACCAAACAAAGACAATGTAAGTAAAATATAATCTACTAGCTAGAAACATAGTTTGGGACAAGATTCTAATTCTCCTTGTGTCTCCTTTCAACCAGATTGCTCTCCCTTAACACCTCCATTGCAGAAATAGCTGAAAACATTCAGTGGAGAGGGAGGGTTTTATTTGTATTTGTAGGCTACTGGAAATGATTAATGACTCTTTTTTTATTGTTAATATTTTATTTTATTAATTTTTATTTTGTATATATTTTTTACATCATTTTTCATTTTTGTGCAATGTATGCATTTTCATCTTGGTTATCATCCCCGTAAAATCCCCCCCCCTTGTTTTGATCCGACTCCCTTCTCCTCCACTGTAGTGTGTCTCTGCTGATTTTGATTTTCACTTTATTATAATTAGTCTAATGATTGATGACTCCTAAGCAGGGAAGCAACTGGGGGCCTGGGCTTTTGGGGAGCAATGGTAGAGAAATGTGTCCCAGTTCTCAATTTCTTTTTAGTAGTTATGTTGGAGATTCAAATGTATCATATACTACATTGGCTACCACACAGATCAGCTGCATTTCTGCATAGTTCCTGGTGCCCTAGGGTGCAGGAAACCATGAACTGCAAAATATAAAGTATCAATAGAATCAAAAAGATTGGTGATTGATTGGATGCAGCTAGATTAGGACTCTAGGTTTCGAGATTGGAACCTGGATGAGTCCTACAGTTAGTAATGAGGACAGAGAGCCTGGATAAAGGACAGGTTTATTTGGGGGAAGGAGGGCAGTAGATGCAGATAATTTTGAGTATGTTGCTTAGAAAGCGTCTGCGGGACACCCAAGCAATGGCACCTAGTAAACTTGTGGTTAGTATGACCCTGGACGTCAGGCGATCTAGAGTGAAGGTGGAAATTTGGGAATCCTCAGTTTATCGATGGCAAACAATGAGCTCACTCAGGAAGCATGAGAAGTTAGCAAGGTTCCAGACTTGGAAGGAGAAGGAAACAACAGGAACAGAGTTTAACTTCTAAAACCTTTCTTTGAGGCCTCTATGCACCAGAACCAACATAGGTTCTGATCTTTTTTCTACTTCCCCTTTCGATATTGCCAGGCTTCTCACCATTTGTCCACTCAGCTCACCAGACATCCTGCCTATGCTCTGACGTCATCCAAGTGATCATTCATGCAGCAATTTACTGAGCAGCTGCCCTGTGTCAGGTGCTCAGGTCCAAACCACACAGCAGTGACCAAAACAATGTCCCTGTCTCAAAATGTTTACATCCTAGCGAAGGACAGACACACATAAATAATTAAAAAGACACACAGGGGGAGGGAAAAGGCTAAGAAAAGAAGCACGCAGGGTAAAGGAATGTAGAGTGATGTGAGTTGTGTTAAAACAGGATGGTTATAAGGAAAGTCCTCTCTGTAGGTGACACATGAGCAGATCTGAATGAAGTGTCAACGTTCTGGGTGGATGAAACAGAAGAGGGAAAGGATCCAGCAAGGAGCTAAATCACACGTCTTTATGAGCCAAAGTAAGGAGTATGGCTTCCACTGTGTGATAGGGGATCCCTGGAAAGACGGAGCGCAGAGGAGGGACATGACCTGACTTAGATTTTAACAAGATCCCTCTGGTTCCTGGGTTGAGAACAAACTGCCGGAGGCAAGGACAAAAGTAGAGGGAGCTTCTAGAAAACTATTGCAATAATCCCGACCAGAGGGGATGGTGGCATGTTGTAGAGAAGTAGAAGTGGAGATGGTGAAAAAAAGATGAGATTCAGGATATAGCCTACAGGTGGAAGGACAGGATCTGCAGTCAACACAGATGTGGGGGTGCGCAGAAAAATGAAGGTTGATCCCCTTCTCCCCCAGGATGGGCAGCTGAATAACCACATACTCAATGGGAAAAGATTAAGTTGAGAGGATAAGAGGAGTGTGACTTAGGAATTGCCTATCAGACGTCCAACTAGAGACATTGGGAGGCTATTGCTTTCTATAAATCCAGAGTTCCCAAAACCGATGAAAGCTGCAGGAGAGAGAGAGAGAGAGAGAGAGAGAGAGAGAGAGAGAGAGAGAGAGAGAGAGAGAGAGAGAGAGAGAGAGAGAGAGAGAGAGAGAGAGAGAGAGAGAGAGGAGAGGAACTCGTTGGGCAATCAATGCCGTCAGGGGGCCATAAGAGCTCCCCGAGGGGCGCCATTACTTCAACAGGTGAAGGACGGGATCTAAAAGGAGCTGGACAGGAGCGTGGAGGGTCGCAGGCAACTCTTCAGGCCGAGGCATCCCCCTCTGCACACACAGAGGACTCAGCACGAGGCACAACGGGCCTGCAAATGGCGGAGGCCGCGGGCGAGGTCAAGAGGGCGCATGCGCGTCCACCCCAGCCCACGGCGTCCACAGCCACCCGGCCTTTCCCCGGGACGCCCCTCGGCCGCGGAGCCCGGTCGCGCGACACCAGGTCGACCTGCGCCGGCGGGACCACCCAGGCCGCCGAGCAGCCGGGAGCCGGGGCGGCCGGCGGAGTCTCGCGAGAGCGCGGCCTCGCCGCCCCAGCATGCCCCGCGCAGCCGCGGCTGCTGCTGCTGCCGCCGCCGCCGCCGCCGCGCCGCGGCTTGAGGGCGGGAGGCTGGGGAGGGTAGCGGAGCCGGCGCCGCCGCCATGTTGGGTCTGAGGCGGCTGCTGTAGGCGCCGACGGAGCGAGCGGGCGTGCGGAGCGGCGACAGCGGCGCGGGATCTGCCTCTCAGCGAGCGGCCCGGAGGGGCGGCGGCGCCGGCGCCATGAGCGGGGGCACCCCCTACATCGGCAGCAAGATCAGCCTTATCTCCAAGGCGGAGATCCGCTACGAGGGCATCCTCTACACCATCGACACCGAGAACTCCACCGTCGCCCTCGCCAAAGGTACGCCGGGCCGGGCCGAGGGGGGCGGCCGGGCCGGGTCGGGCCGGACGGGGCGGCCCGAGCCCTCGGCCCCCGCGGTGCCCCCGTCGTCGGCCGTTCGGAGGCCGCCCCCGGCGCTCCCTGCCGGCCCCGGCGTCGCGGGCCGGGCCGCGGCCTCCCCCGGGCGCCCCGGCTCCCGCCCCGGAGGTCCGCGCCCTCAATCCGGGCACTCCCGGCCGGGCGCGGGGCGGGCGCGGCGGCCCTGAAGTCCGAGAACGGGCCGCAGAACCCGGCGGTGCGTGTCTTCCAACTCCGAAATTCGGCGGTTCTGCCGTTTTCTCGCAAAACAAAGCCTGAGTGTGGAAAGAATTTTTCCGCCTCGCCCGAGTTTCGTGCTCATTTGTGCACGCCGCGGCCCCCATTTTTCGCACGTTCTGGATTGCAGTTGGTCGGGATATTCCTCAGGTGCACCCGGAGTCATGTGCCAAAACTTTGGGGTTGCTCTGCGGGGCGGGCGGGCGCGGCTGGCCGGTGCCCAGGCCGGGCAGGGCGCATCCCGCCCGGCTCCTTGGTGCCATTTACCTGTTCAGCCGGAATCCGCCGAGCCTGTTGTGCAACCAGCTCTTTAAAAATGCTCGCTGCGCTCACGTCGACTCTGTTTCTGGAAACCCCTAGGGAGGCAGGGTGCGAGCTGAGTCCAGGACCCTTGTGCAGAAGGCAGATGTGAGTGGTCGGGGGGTGCGGGTGGGCCCTGGGGTGCTCGTGGGCCCCGGGAGTTGTGTGCCTTGAGGAGGAAGAGGTCCTTGCCACCCCCTCCGTAGTAGTCAGTCTTTAGCGTCGCAACAACCTGGGTTTTGTTTCCGTTCACACGTGCTGGGCCTTCGCTGCGCCAGGAAACTAGGGAGAAAATAAACTTTAGCTGCTGATCTTCAAAGAAATCGCACAAGCTTGGTATGCTTAGGAGAGGAAGCAAGGTAACTACTACGGTGGTTTTCCCAGCCTACCTGGTAGAGTTAGGAAATGAGTATCTTGGTCCGAACAGAGGTCCCGGGGATAGGAAGAAGATTTTCTAAATCTGGGGTGTGTGTGTGTGTGTGTGTGTGTGTGTGTGTGTGTGTGTGTGTGTGTGTGTGTGTGTGTGTGTAACCTCTGATAGTAGAGTCATTTCACAATATCAAACAAGTACTTATTGACATTATTGACATTTTTTTAGAATGCTTTGGCAGGTCCTTTTTAATAACAGTCTTGTTGGAACAAATCTACCTGGGTAGGGAGTGTTAAATTATCTTAGTTTCCTTTCCTTTCTCCCATCAGGTGGATAATTTAACTGTTCAGTGTTGTTGTTTTTGCGGCCTTTGAGTCTTAAGGTGTCTTTTCCCAGTCGGTGCATTATCAGGGAGTTGGTTTGCCTAACTGCTTTCACTCCTCACCAAAAAAGGGCATACATTTTAAATATATCTAAGGTATTGACTTCCGTCTCTTTAAATCTACATGTCATTTGATGGAAGAACCTAGAAATATCAGTATTTTAGTGACCCACGTTTGAAACTGTTTGTCTCTTCAACAGCTTCGAAAGTCAGTAAACATTTAATTAGTCTAATAGTTAATTTCGAATGTCAAACATAACTTGTGCCTTGTAACAACGCTTGGTAAATGTTATATGAGTACAGTAATGAAAAGGTTTTTTTAATCTTTGCATTTGTTTAGTCATTGAATTTATGTCTTTAACTTATGGCTTTAATATTTAATCACACATAAATAATATATGCTTTTTCTTAAGCAGTGTTAGTGTAAGCGGGGTTTGGGAATTTCAGTCAGTTTGCAGAAACTAGAAACGGGTTACCAAATTTTGCTATATTCTGCATAATAGTATCTGACCAAGCACTGGTTTATAACTACATTCAACACTGGGCACTTAATTCAAATTTCAATATAAAAGTGAGATGTTTGGTTTTAGGATTTAGATGACTTGTTGGGTAATTTGATACCTGAATTACCACCTTTTTCAAAATTTGGGTGAAGAATGGCTGTCTGATCTTAAACCCAAAAGTTTATTCATGGAGTTTAGTATATCTACTTGGATTTAGAGATTCCTGTTACTCCTTTTAAACTATGAATTGAATTAATCTCTGAATAACAAGCCTTCTAAGAATTCTCTTTAAAATATTAAATTTTTGCCTTCTCAGCGTTGTGTTTTTGCTTTTTTTTTTTGCTTGGGTTTTTTTTTTGTTTTTTGCTCTTTTTTGGTTTTGTTTTTTTGCCTTTTTCTTGTGAAATATAACCACACGTGGAAAAGACACAGATAAAAATGAATTTTTGTATCTTATACAAATTTTACTGCTCTTTAAAAATGGATAACACACTGCTTTCAACTCTAAGTGGTAATACAAATATAGACTTCGAGCTTTCAGAACTAATGCCCTTTCATTAGTTGATTAAAAATACAAAAAGCCCTTCGTGTTCACACACTTAACAAAAAATGAGGTATTTTTAAACAAAGAACCTTGTAACTGTCACCCAAGACATCGCCATCCTCCCACCACCTCCATCTTCCCAACACAACTACTGCCCACTGAAGCGAGATAAAAATGTTATTCTAATATTTACAGTTTTGTCCACAGAGTTTGCATTCCTGAAAAAATAGTTTAGTTTTGTCCATCCTTGAGCTGTATGTGAATGGAACCATCTTTATATGTAATCCTCACAAATACACCGTAGGTTTATTCTGCCCTTTTTATGGGATTCAACAGTTGATGTTGAAATTGTTTACAGTATTTGGCTATTGTGACCAATACCTTTATGAGCCTTTGTGTTTAAGTGCACTAATGCATGTTATGTCATTTTCTTAAGGGTGTATACTTAAATTTGAATTGCAGCATCACAGGGTAATATGTATCTTTATCAGGTAATGCCAAGCATTTTTACTGGTTTTGTTTACTGATTTTTATCTCAATTGTTACTGGTTTGTTTACTGGTTTTTATCTCAGTTATTACTATATTAGAGTTCTAATTCCACATCTCTCACCAATAATAATATTTAGAATCAGATATTTTAATTGTAGCCAATCTGATGGTTTTATAGTTGTGCCTGCTTTTAATCTCCCTGATTACTAATGAGGTGAACACTTTTTCCTATCTTCATTTGGATTTCATCTTTCATGAAGTGCCTTTGAAATCTTTCACCCATTTTTTATTAAAATGCACATCTTTCTAAAGTTTGGTGTTCTGAGTATAAATCCTTTGTTGGGTGTATGTGTATCATAAAGAAGTTCTTCACTTTAATGTAGACATGTGTGTTGATCTTTTCCTTTATAGCTAGTGTTCCCCCCCCCCTTTCTCTTTCTCTTTCTAAAGGAATTTTCCCCCTACCCCTGGATTATGGCGATACTTTGATTATCTTTTCAAAGCTTTTTTGTTTTGTTTTGTCTTTCACATTTAGGTCTATAATCTCCCAAAATTGATTTTGTGTGTGGTGTGAGGTATTTAAATCTTTAAATTTAGTAAGGGATACCCTTGGTTTATGTGGTCCAGACTATAATTTAGATCCTTTGCTTGGATATAACTTATAATTTAAATCCATCTGGAACTATAAAATACTCTTGAAATCTTGGACTAGTTACATTTGATGTGGTATGTAATTAGGGTAACCATATGGCCTGGTTTGCCCTGGTGGAAAGTCCTTGTTTGTGCTGTTGTTCTGCCATAATTATTAAAACATCCTTTTTCTCCCTTGAAAATTTTCCAGTTTGGATAATAAATTATATGTTCACACTGTCATCAAAAGCCCAGTCCCAGAGGTACTGCTAAATGGGTAATATCCTTTCTTTTCTGCTAGAGAATTTACAGACTAGCTCTAATTGTGTAAAAGTGAGGTTGAGGTAAATTTGATGGGCTTTGGATATCAGAAATCTTCTACGAGAATGTCAAGAAGTTTTACAGGCAACCTACAAAGACTTTGGTGTCAGTCTGTTAAGTGTTTCTAGATAACCTGGCTTGTAGTTTGTCTCTGGTGGGACTTGTCACAGCCCTGGGTTTATTTTCTTCCTGACATTGATCATGACCTACACATAATCGTCTTTGCTTATTTGTGTGTGATTATTGTCTGTCTTCATTTTCCCTCTCCCATCCCCAGATAGGCTGAGTGAGTGAAGTTAATGAATGAATAAATGAAATGATTCCGCATTTTATTTATTAATCTTGTGGAGATTTCTTGGGGGCTATCTTCAAATAATGCTTTTTCATATCCACAGTCGTACATTTTAATTTAAAAGAGGATAAAATCTTATGACAAAACAGACATTATTAGGGAGAAAGTTTTACTCAAGCTTAATTTTAATTTCCATTTAAAATTTAAGGGAGGGCCTCCCCTGGTGGCTCACTGGTTGAGTGCTGGGCTGCGAAGCTGCCCACACCCTCTGCAGCGCTGGTTCGATCCCCGGCCGCCAGCAAGGGTCCAACGTGGCACGACAGACCTCTCCTGCCGCCCGCTACTCCCCTCAGCAGTGTATTTCAGCAGTCTGCTTGTTCTGTTCCACACTCTGGCTCTGGTGAATTCTCTCACCCTTCCGCGCTTCTGACTGTACCCAGTGCTTGTATAAATAAATTAATTAATTAAAAATATATAAAAATAGGGCCTCCCCAGTGGCGCAGCGGTTGAGCGCTGGGTTGCGAAGCTGCCCGCAGCCTCCGCAGCGCCGGTTCGATCCCCGGCTGCTCCCCGGCCACCGGAAGAGGGTCCCACATGGCGCGCAGACCTCTCCTGCCGCCCGCTGCTCCCCTCAGCAGTGTACTTCGGTCCTTCTGCCTGCTCTGCTCCCCGCTCTGGTGAATTCTCTCACCCTCCTGCGCTTCTGACTGTACCCAGTGCATGTACAAACAAACAAACAAACAAACAAACAAATAAATAAATATACATGCCTCTTTAAAAAAAAAAAAAAAATATATAAAAATAAAATTTAAGGGAAGAATCAGTTCAGGGTGCTTCAGGGCATTGCAAAGTGTAAGATGCATGAATCGTCTAG